GTTCGACCGGTATTCATGGACTTTGAAATATAATTTATGTTTTATTATAGAACTTAAAATATCACTGAAAATCTTTAAAAATAGTATTAAAATTATTTTTTTATTATAACTTGTATTTGTGAAAGAGCCTTTAATTAAATATTTGTATCTTATACGCGTGAAAATAATTATATATTTAATTAATTTATAAATAAAATTAATATCTTAAAATAATTTTTAGTTATTTTATCAATTTAAATAAAAAATTTATTGCTAAACAGAGTTTGATAATATAATTTTTGATCTTATTCTATTTTTATTGGTTTTTATTTGTTAAGTTTATTGTTATTGTGTATCTCGAAACTTTAATAGCAAAACCAGCATCTTTATATTCTTAGATATGAAAGAACTCTTTCATTTACGAACAAACAATGGAGAAATAATGAAAGAAATATGAAATATTTGAAGGTAAAACATTTTAGAAGTTAAATAAGTAGTATTTAAAGTAAGCATGCTCACCTTTATAGTAGTAAAATAATTTTATTATATTACATATATTTATATATACATACATACATATATATTACTAGTATTTTTATAAAAGGAATTGAATATTAAACTTAAAATATTTTTAAAAATGTACAGGAATTTTTCACATAAATATTCTGCATGAATAACTTATCGTTCCCTTAAAGTAACTCAAATTCTAATCACCAACTCGTCTTGAGCAACCGTGGTAATTAATGCTTCAACCTTCTCCATGTGAGAAAGAAGCTATTGCTCAGCAGTCGTCTCTGATAGGCTGATAACATATGAAGAATACTTAGCAAAATAGAATCTAAAATAAAGTGTTTATACGCTTCTGATATTATTCCAAATGTCTATTGTTTTTAAACATGTTTAAAACGGTGTGTATTGCCGATAGGTATGAATTTTTCCGATATCTAGATAATTTTATTAAATAATTTGGAAAACTAATGTCTTTGTTCCGTACAAATTTGCTTTGCTAATTTACGTCACCCATTACATACTACTTCTAATAAAAGATATATTACTACTAAGTTGATGCCTCATAGTTTAGGGAGCTGTGTAAGTGAGATTCATTTATGATCTGGCTCAGTGAGGACAGACCCACTTCTGACAGGGAGATGGCGTTAAGCTATAGCTTTTTTTTTATTTTTGATCTGAAAACTTCTAAGTACTTTTCCAATTCAAATTATCTGTTTCCATCCTATTGAAAACGTCTAGACATTTGTGTAATCGATGATTATGACGACGTAAAATATACTTGTCTTACATTTTGAAAGCTTGAATTGAATCTAAATACATTACATACTAATTAAATATACGTCATATGTACTTCTCATATATTATTATATTCCGTTAAAAATTGCACTTACTTCAATTATAAGTTTAAACATCAGAGTGTTTTTGTATAAAAATACTATATACATATTTTTTATAAAAATACTATAGGTTGTGAGAAATTATATTTCACAGGGTAATTACTTATTGTATCGAAAGACTTTGTAAAGTATTATCTCGTTACGATAATTGGTTTCTGTTTCTGGTAAACATGAATTACTCGCTTCCGCAGTCTACTTCCTCGTTGTTTGTTTGTTACAAATTTAAGATAATTGATAATATTAAATAAGATGTTTCTTTAAATATTATACATTTACAAATAATTACTTATTAAAGTTACGTTCTGTGTATACCATCCAAATATTACCAATTTTATTCTATCTGAATATCAAATAAAACTATATTTTAAAAAAATAAAAAATATATAATAGATTTTTATACAGATTTTATTATTGTTCATTCCTTATAGGTTTCTAAAGATCATAAGTAATTATGTATAATAAGCTTATACATAAGGATTCTTATAAAGAATGATTGAATAGAAAGAAAGAATTATGGTTAAATGAATGTCGAACTAAATAAACTCGGAACAAATTTAGTTATTTTTGCTCCGTATAAACAAAACCACAAACGTTTTTTATAGTTTTCCGATAAAGCCAAAGGCTATTGGGTTTAAACAGTTGGCTTTAGTTTTGATTTCCTTTCCAACAACGATTAAACATTTTAGAGTTAGAATAAAAAAAAATTCAAACATAAAAAAAAAATAAAACATACACTTTCATCCTCATACATATATAGATGAGAGTGGTATTAGTTACAATATTTAAAAATACAGAACGGCTGTACGGGTTTGACTGAAAATTATTGGAGATATAAAATAGCTTGAAACAGGAGAAAGGACGTAGGATATTTTTCATCCGATTAAAAAAAAAAATAAGTTGATCAAATCCGAAATCTTCTTATCTATTGTCTTTAAAGAGGAATAAAGTTCACCTGGTACATGTGCTATAGATATATCGAACTAATATAAAATCACGTTTTGTTAAAATAGTTAATTTTGGAATTGCCATGAGTGATAAGATGTTTGTAAATGTACACTACATTTATGGTTGTATGACTTATTTGTTGATGAATTAATCAAAATCATTTTTTACATTTCATAGAGTTTATCCTCGTACTATCCATAAAGTTTTGGTTTGATCGGCAGAAAAATATGTCAAAGAGAACAAAAATTAACGCAACAGTTACACAGTTACTTTGATAAGTTTATAATACAAAGTAACGATCTCTTCTACAAGTGAAACGAGTATCAACACTTTTCGTATTAAACACTAGAGTTCTAAATATTAGAAATAAAGTTTTATAGAAGTTGGTTACTTCTTGAAATATGTATATTATTTAACATTTAAATTTATTCAAAAATAAATTCAAAGAAAATCTTTTTTGTCCTACACTTTCATAATTTTATATATAATATAATAATTCATAAAAATAATACTGCCTGTAGGTCTAAGAAAAGAGCTTCATAATGCTAATACTATGACTTTTAAATAAGCATTATTTCGCTATTTGAAAAGACCACCTATTTCCACTATCTACTTCAGAGAGTTATGCGAATTCATCCTATTAGAGAGTTGACGCACTTCGATGAAATTCTAACATTGCATCGGGATAATACATCAGCATGCGCAAATCCTGCTTGTATAAATGCAAGACGTTTTTGAATGCCTGAGTTAAATGATACTAATATAAAATAATGTTTTAAAAAGATTAATATTTCAATCATTAATAGAAATGTTTTTGACGCTATTCAAACTTTTGTGACATTAAGAGAATTATATTAAGTTAAGTTATAATTATGAGTGAAAAATAATATTTTGCATGCCTACAGACATGATAATGATTTATTACTTGACAAGTTTTTCTACAGAAATCTTATTTAAAAACATATTTATATAAAGTTGTAACTCCGTTAGGTGTTATTATGTTCTGCGAATATCTTTTTTAAAAATACATTTTTCAATATGAAAATGCATTATAATGAGATACAGAACCTTCATTTATAAAAACCGGTTGAAAAGACGCTGTTCGAAAAAAGTACAATCAAGATAAATAATAAAAAAAAAAACAAGAATAAAACGTGAAACATTATTCATTCTGATGTTGAATGCAAATAAGACTGTTTAATTAAAAATATTAGAATACTAATGGTTCTTTTCTCCGATTCTTTATCTAAATTGAGTATTATAAATGAATTATGCCCGAAATATAATGTCCAAATTTAATTGTGTCATAAAAATACTAGTTAATCTTTTGTGAACATTTGCTTCATAATTGATTTGCTTTACTAAAACCCTTCATCGTCACTTTTATATATAACAGCATGTTACCAATTCCTTATCGTTGTTTCTTTTAAATATAACTTTCTAACACAAGTTTTGTAAAAAATAAGCGTTCTCAGAAGAATACTAGCACACGCCACAAAGCGCTTCCTATCCTTTACTAAAGTTGCTGGCGCAGAAAGTTTGATTGAATTTTAAATATAAAGTGCTACGATGTCGCCACAAACTCGCATAAGGATCATTTATTTAAGTCATCTTACCTCAATTCTTTTATTTTGAAAGTAAAACATTTGTGTTGTAATGAAAATGCTTTTTACTGAGTTTTAATGTATAAATATCACATGATGGTGGCGCTGTCTGTGTGGTTGTTGTTTATCTCACTGTGGTAAGATTTAAAAATAATATTTGAATAAAAATAATTTGTTTTCTAAGAACGGAAGGATAATATTTATATGTGAGGATGTTAGGCGTTCAATTTTAGCTTACTGAAGTTTCATCGCAATCAGTTTACTAAGTAAACACAAAGAAGTATAGATACCCTTAATATACACCAATACATTTTTAAACCAAACTTATTTATAACTTGTAGTACACACCTTATTTTTTATATCATAATAGTGGAGGTTTTTAAATAATATACGGAGAAGATAATACATAGAAAAAATAAATGTCAAGTCATGTCAAGAGTTTATACAAGAGAATAAACACTGTTATATAGTCAAGCCGTTCGACACGGTTGTCACAAATTAGGTATCATTTTGTTTTAAACCAACTAGGTACATATGTACGTAAATATAATATACATATTTAATTAAATAGTTGTAGTTGGTAACCAAATTGATAGTAACATAGCACATATTGTAAAGGGAGTTCAACGATTTTCTTAGATCTCTTAGCTTTAACAAATGAAGCATTAAAAATAATAAATAATATAGAGGCTGGAACCAAAACATATCTTGATCACGATCATCACCGCTATCAGAAAGCGTGTATCTTTATCGTGGGCTGGCTCCACCGGGGAGGTATCAGCCACTCGCAGACGAACGGTGTGAAGTGGTCTTTAATGGCTGCGTTTCGTTTGATGAGTGAGAGAGCCTCTCCTCCTCCTCTTCCCTAATCAAAGGTGGAGACATTTCTTCAAAACTATGAGGTGGTTGTCCATAGGTGATGCGACTACCTCTATCAGATAGGCCGTCTGCTCGGTTGTACCCTTTCCTATAAAAAAGGAGTTACCAAAAATGACAAGTATGACGGAAGCTATGCGGTTGAAGGCTGGTTAATTAATTGGCAGATTTTGGGCTCTTCGAAAATGTGATGACAAGACTATGCGAGATTGACTCGAGGACTGGCCCGAGAGACACCAAAGGCTCCGATGGCGTTGGAATTCACAAGTCGCTCGAGGATAATGTGCTTGAGGACGGTGTTTTGCAATGTAAGAGAGCAACATAAATTTCCTTAACATTATTCAAGTGGGCCATGAGACGTTGCTACAGCTCTGTCTCAAAAAAAGCAAAGACCCGGGAAAGAACAGAATTTGAATGCAAATATACCTTACTATTCTCTTTCTATCTTAATATAAGGACAAGAAATGAAATCAATCGAGTAGTATCGTGGGGAAAGTCCAAAGTTATGGTAAAAAAATCACATATCCACGAGGTCAGTGGTCATGATTGTCGATCTTTTCATAATTATGCAAGAATAATCCAGAGTGGCAGGCATAATTTAAAAAGGAAAGGAAGGAAGGAAAAGATTTTTTTTTTGGCTAAAGGATGATCTTTAAATCCCTCTAGACAAGAACGTTGAACAAGTAAGTTCTTCTTGTATAAATCTAGAAAGCCAAAACCTAAATATTCCCCACAGGGTTCGTCCATTGATTCAAGACCACCCAAAGAGCTATGGAGCATACGATGCTGGAACGTCTTTTAACAGATCAAGTTCTAACCAGAATCATGCGTCATCAAACTTCAACAACATGAACAGATTTATCACGTTGAAGCAGAATTGGTCATGTCTTTATACGTTCAGATACTCGATGGTATCGTAACGGTTGAAGTGAAAACCATATTCAGGCCAATGCTTTGTTTAATACCCTTCAAAATGACGGGCCAGTAGTTTTAGAGAGTTGGCGGATAACGGTTTGATTCACACTGTCCAGAACCGGGATGGTTCCTGTAGCGTACTGCCAGTACTGACGGGCTGTAGGCCTGAGGTTTATTTACATATATATAATATTTATTTACAATGATAACCTAAATAAATGAGCTAATAAATTATTGAGTTTCATTTTATTAAGAAAACTAATTTAAAAAAAAGTTTCATATAATTATGTTGTTATTAAAAAACGGAATATAATTTAATATTAGACGTTTTTTTAAGACATGCCACATAAACATTTAAAGAATTTTGTCATTATTATATTTATTTAAAAATGTGCATTTTACATCACAATCTAATAAATTGTCGTGTTGCCATAACTTATTTTGTTCATTGTCTATCTTTTGTACTCGTCTTTAAGCAAGTGAAACTACGTAGGAGTTATGTTGAACAAAACGTTGAGGTTTACATTCCTTTGTTTCTAACGTGCCAAATCTTAAAAGACCTTTACTAAGCTAGCGTCCTCTATACAGGCCGCTTGGAGTTGGGTGGACACAAAAAGACTTCTGCCTTTAAGATAACCCAGTTTCATGACAGACTCCATTTGCTTACAAACGCTAAAAATAAAAGTGAAGATTGTTACCGTACAAAAAATTAGTTTCACTCTGACAAGCTTTCAAAAAACATAGTTGGATATGAAATGGCTTGTATTGTTTTGCCGTATTCTTGTTCTTTTGTGTTGTTCTTCAATATTTAAGTAGAGAAAATGATATAAGTCTTTATGAATTCTCTATAACATTTTAAGTTTGTTACCGAAGTATAGGAAAACGTAAGTGCTTAAGTTTTATTTATTTCAGAAATTAGTTTTTGATCTTTTATAAATAAGTTGCAAGAGAAATATTATATTTTTATAATAATATATTAAAAGAAAATTCGGAAACTCAATTATTTATAAAACTTCTTTGTAATGTCTTCTTTCACTACCACCAGCAAAATATATTATGCATTTCATTTGGTTATGAGAAAGTAAGTTGACATCACTAAGAAGCTAAAACTTTGGTCATAAATTTAATAAAACATTGTAACTTAATGAGCCGATTGTTCTAAGTTCGGTGTTGTAACTGTATAAGGATTGGTGTCCATTAAATTTAATTAGGTCAAATCCCATTACGCAGTTCAAAAGCACTCGTATTTCTGTATACATTAAAAATCCTTTTGATGATTTTTTTAACACCAGTGACTTTCCATGTATTTCTGTTATTTTTTTATCACGAATTGAATTCATATATTTAAAATGCCATGTCTTGAATGCAATGTGTTTTAATAATATTACATTCATAACATGAAACAGATTATGGCTTTGATAGAAACGAAAAGTTAAGCTGTTGTTATATTTGTAACAAAATCCAAATATTTATAGTGCTAACAATAAAAAAAATACTTTGTATATAAAATATCTAACAATCTAGATATTTCCATAAACTATAAATGAATATAAATATTTATGAAAAAATGCAATATAAAAATACAGAAAATATATGTACTTGTATACAAAATTGTAAAAACGTGTATATATAATACATTCGTTCGTTCCATGACCTATATAACAATTCACAAAATAAAAGCCACAGGTATAAAAAACATCCCATTATGCATTTTCTAAGAATAACGAACAGCAAACATTTATCATATGGAAGTAAATTTTTGTCACTTAGAGTGTATGTACAAAGGTGAATCCAGCCAACATGACACTTATGTATTACTCAAGATGTTATTGAATACGTTCCGGATTAATAGGATCCTCGATGTCATGAGGGTTATCTGTAATTGTCGACTTGGATGAACGAGGCTTAACGTGTTATATCAGGATAGGATAAGGATAGTGTCCAAAACTAGTTGTATGTTACACAATGCTTTTCAAATGTACAGTGATGTTAAGCTCAGTAGCTCATTGTAAGCCGGTTACAAAAGTACGCTCATCAATCCAAGGATGCTTGGTTTGTATTTTGAGCTGCTGTATAACATGAGCATATTGACAATATTTAATATTTTTAATAGAACTACATAATATAATCTTCTTATCTTTAACTGAACACAGTAAGTTTTTCAGTAGTCTAATGTTTTATAGCTCTTAATTTTTTCATTAAAAAATATTTTTTTTTCTCGTATTTTAAAGTATTCATAACAATTATTTTCTGGGTGAGAAATAAATAGTAATTTGATTAAAAGTAATAAAAAATTCTAAAGCGCTCTGTGTGCGTTGTTCTAAAGCTGTTAACATTGTAAGCTGCCCGATGTATTATGACCCAGTTTTCTACTTACAAAATAAATTTAAGAGAAGCAATAACGTAATTTAATAAAACTAACTACTTACAATTAGATTTAAACTCTAAAGCCTAGATTAAATTAATGTACATTTTCATTAAAAGTACATTTCTATTCATAACACATATAAAATACTAAACATATATTAATTTAATATAATTTTTACACAAGTGCTACCCTCAAAGTTTTTAATATATCTAATTTATATTTTAGACTCAAAAAGATATGAATAAAATGTTGCTTTTTTCAATCTAAAAGATATATATTTATTTATTATAGACACTATAGAACTATAAGCATAATAATTTAAATTAATGCCAGATACAAATGCCATTTTAATTTCAACATTATATTTTGTCTGTTCAATAGGATTATTATTACAAAAATTATAGAATAAAAATCTTCATAAAGCTGTTTTTCATCTCATTGTCTTATTTTAAATACAGTTATAGAAAAAATAACGATACAATAATTTTCAGTAATTTTAATAGTTACGTTGTATAAAGAATTATAACGGTTATAAATACAAGAGATATTGCGGCTATGTTTTATTAATACGAAGACTAAATGTCCCATCTTGTTAAAGGAACTCTCTCAAGAAGTGCTCTCATCTTGTTTGTTGTTCATAGTGAGTCGGTAACTATAATAAAAGTTATTCATGTAATATGATATTATAATTTTACTTATAATACATATACATACATACACATCACCGTATCTTTTTTTACATCATTCTTCTGTCATAATATACATACAAAATGAAATATTACAATTAATTATAAGCTACAATTACAAATTTAGCTATTATTTTTAGAATTTCAACTGATTTTGGTTACACTTTCAATATTGGTTTCAATTATAGTGAAACCATTTTAATGCTTACAGATTTCTTTTTATTTTCAAACGCTTTTGAAGTCAAATACTTAAAAACAAAAATGAATATCGTTTATTAAAACTGACTACGGGTTCAAAGGAAATTAGTTCATCTTTTGATCTTTTGTTCCATCTAAGCCTTCTGTCCTTGAATTACTAATATTTTTTTACATTTTCGATAAAAAAGCATTGTTTTATTTTTTTAAATTGCCTATTCCTAATATAACCAAAAAAGTCTAGTATGAGAACAAAACGTAACAAAATAATGAAATTTTCCTAAATAAAAAGATATTATGATCTTCTTGAATTCAAATCTAATAAACATTAAAACTACATTCTAGAAAAATAAAGAAGTTATAAGAAAGATATATTTTTTCCTGACAAAGTTAAAAATTACAGTAGTACATTAGAGGTCAAAATATAGTCATTTGTGTACTTCCATTTTCATTTTCAATAGATAACGCTTCCTATATACTTACAGAACACATAAAAGTAAATATATAATAGCGTACAGCTAAACCCAAATTCCACTTTCGATGAAATAAATGGAAATAGTTTCTTTAATAGTTCCTTTCTCTAAAACTTATCAAAGGGGAATGAAGATATAGTTTTTCTCTCAAGTTTATCCAAGTTCAAACTAGTTAGTGTGAAAGCGCTGAACCCAGAGGCTGCAAACTTCATTCATGTTCCTATTAACAGAGTTGATTTAATTCTTGTGTTATATAAAGCCTGGTACTGTAAATATTTTAATTTTATTTTAACAATAGTACTGTTATTAAACTTATATGAACTAAGTCGTTGTGTAGTAAAGTAATTATATTCAATGTGGCACTGTCAGCATCGTGCTTGAGATAAATTATGAGATATTTGGAGCATAACCCACCTATCAGCTTTAATACAGCTAAGTGAGGTAATGATATAAAATATTTTAAATTAGAAAATGTAATTTAAGGCTTCTTAGGCGCTTCTACATATATGTATAATGCAAAATTTGTAGACGGTATGAGAACTCAGACCATCAAGTTTCGGTTTAGCAGTGATATATTTATTATATATCTATCTCAACTGTAATTAAACATTATTGATTAGTTTTTCATATATAAATGTAATAGATGGGACTTTAATGAT